AGTTCCATCTCCCCCAAAAGGCAACCTCACAGAAAGTGAAGACCCTCACCCAGCTGGACTGATCAGATACAGTGACCGCCAATGATGGGCTCAAAGCTAGCCACTACAGTGGGCAGTGCAGGACCGGGCGGCGTGACACTGTGGCACACCGGGTCACCCCTAACAACAATAGTAACACACCTGCTAAAAGGAGGTAGCCTCATACCTGTTGGAGGAGTCCTGAATCCGAGTCCAAAACGCAGGCATCGATCAGAATATTCTGAAATGAACATTTGACCTCATTAGGGGAGCATCGGCACTCAGAGGGTGAGAGCTGCCTACAACGACGCCTTCTGTGCGCTGGACAGCCGCCAAGCGCTGCATGGGGCTCTTTACGCCAGACTAGCTCTGCAGGGAGCTGTGTCATGCCCAGGGTGGTCCAGCTGCGGCCACAGCCACAGGGACACGCTCTGGCCCCTCCAGCGTTGCCCCTTCACACTGGAAGGCGGGGGCCTCAGCTACAGCCTCAACGTACGTTAACTCGTGTTTCCTCACAGGTCTGGGATGTTTGTAAGCAGAGGGCAGAAAAATGCTACTTGCAATAACACCCAGGGGCCTTTGGTTCCTATTTGCAAAGTACAAATCCCCAGTCTTTACAAGGCTCACTCCAGTAAACGGAGAAGTTGAGGCGACGTTTATGCAGCCGGGTTCTACAATCAGAGGCACTCAGCTAGGGGCCTACGATGGGCTCTATAGAAGGGCTGCGCGAAGCCCACAAAACACGCAAGGCACTCGGGGTCCCTCACACTCTCAGGGAGTTCAGAGCCCTGAACTGAAAATGACCGCTACCGTCCACTGCCAAACGAGGCAGTCCTGACTCAGGGTGGCCCTGGAAGAGAACGGAGGAGAGCTTCTCCCATGGGATGGTCAAGGCTGCCATCTTTACAGGAGCAGGCTGCCGCATCTCCTTCCCATGGAGCAGCTGTGGGCTCGAACTGGTGACCTCGAGGCTTGCGGTGGAGCGCTTCATCCCTGAGCCACCAGTGCTCCTTAAACCGACAGGTGACCGAGTCCTAACCCAGGAACAAGGCTTACGAAACATCAGAACCCATCACGGCAAACACTGGAAGGAGCAAGGCAGGGCTGTCGGTCACTCACGGCAAGGTCACCGGTTCAGATCTCCCGGCTGCTCCGGGGGAGGCAGAGCTGCTCCCTGAAAGTTCAGTCCCGCCGACCCCATGGAGGGTCACTGGGAGTCGGAACTGACGCGATGAGAGGGGGTCTGGTTTGGGGCTCTGTTGAGGCAGATTCCTCTTTAAATGGTGGGCTCCGCGCTCACCTGCTTCTGAGCCGCGAAAATGACGTTCATGAAGTTCATGTACTGCAGCGCGCTGTCTTCTGCAGCCTTAATCACCTGCAAAAGGCCATCGAGGTCAGCCCCGGCAGCGCCTCCTGCGCCCTCACCACCCACTCTGGCCAGGCCTCCGCTGGCTGTCAGTGTCTACTGACGCGCCCTGAACACTACTGACAAGTAGACAGAGGACCCCAGAGCCCACTGCCCATTGGCCAGACTCGCCCAGGGTTTGATGGACATCATCTTAGAGAGCATCTGTATGGCAGGTAATTCCCTCACCCCAGAAATGCACTCATACACATTCAAATCCAAAATACACATACACCACACACAAACACCCACATCCGGAACACACACATGCACACGCACTGATGCACAAAAGTTACCCCTAAAATACACACGAAATC